ATGTATGTATGTATATACAGTATATATATATATATATATATATATTATTTATTTGTATTATAAATATAATAAAATTGAGATATTATTAATAAAATAAAGTATTATTTTAATAAGCTAAATTGTATTTATAAATTTTTATATAACACTTGGGATTCCAACAAACTCTAAAACTGTTCTGCAAGAAAATTTAATTCTCTTATGCGATTGTCTGTTCAAACCAATGTGGGAAAAAACAGCAGATGGACTGAATAAAAATGCAAATGTACTCTCTGACAGCAGGTGGCGCTTATAAGAAAAGCAGGAATGCTCATGTTACCATGGTACACAAAGCGCCTGATTGTCACAGAAAAAATATATATATAAAATAGGCTAGTATTTATGTTTTTATTTTAAACAGCATTCAGATTTTTGCATTTGCTATACCCTAATGCAACACCATGTAACGGTTTTATGTAACAGCAGTGACTCTGGGCATGTGACCAAAAGTGCTAATCTTATTGGTTCGATGGAAAACAGATTACAACACCATTCCCTAAAAAAAATCCATAGCATTGATGGTATGCAAATATTTGAACAGGCATATTCAAATTAAAATGTTTTTCACACCAAAAAATGTTGTCATTTAGTATGAGAAATAGTACCACTAGGCAGTGATGTTGTGAATGCTATCTCAGATCGAAAAAAATACTTAATCACTGTAAAGGTCCAAACACGTTAAGTCACTATTAAGGCACAATTAATGCCTGTAGGGTCTCACTGATTCAGTTAACTGTCCTTTAAAAAACAGATTACAACACCATTCCCTAAAAAAAATCCATAGCATTGATGGTATGCAAATATTTGAACAGGCATATTCAAATTAAAATGTTTTTCACACCAAAAAATGTTGTCATTTAGTATGAGAAATAGTACCACTAGGCAGTGATGTTGTGAATGCTATCTCAGATCGAAAAAAAATACTTAATCACTGTAAAGGTCCAAACACGTTAAGTCACTATTAAGGCACAATTAATGCCTGTAGGGTCTCACTGATTCAGTTAACTGTCCTTTAATTTTTAACTACACATTTAAGGAAACACATCACCCAGACAGAATGTCTTTTTTAGCCCCATCACAGCGAGAGAGAGAAAGTGAAGTCTCCAGGGAAACGAGACAGGGAGCTGAGTGAAGCGCCTCATTAGGAGTAAATCACATCAGACTCCCCTTCAGAGCTAACAAGACAATCACGTGGTGCAGAGAAGGTCAGGAGGTCATGGTGGACATTAATGAACTGAAGTGGCCTGGAAGAACATTCTAAGAATCAGTTCAGTATAGAGCTTCTACCAGCTGTCTTCTGCTCAAGCATGTTCATGTGAGTGTAAACAGGCATACAGGGGTCTAACACTGGTACTACAGTTTCTGCCAGACATATTTAACCAACAGCATTAGGGAACATTATGTTTAAAGGTAGAATGTTGCACTGAGTATTAAAGATGTTAGTGAGATCTTTAGACTTGGGGAAAATATACAGAGACCCAGTGTGGAACCCCTAAAATTCCCAGTCATATCTCAGCACCAAATTTCTATAGGCACATGGCCTATATCAGCCTAAGTTGAACACTAAAATATTATTTATCAATAATAAATGTTATATATAATTAATACATTTGAATATATTTAATTAATTATAATATCATATATTTAATTTAATAATGCATTTGAAGAGATATTTCATAAAAATATTAAATTAAAATATGCACAAAAAGTCTCTATCATTAAGGTGTAAATTCAGTCACAAGTAATTGATTACGCATGAAACTCAGGACTTGTGTGCCAAGGAATATTACCCATCCATTATGTATTGGCTGATGTGCACGTGCCTAACACACCTTGAGACAAGCACTGATCAATATACTGCTGATAAACTGCCAAAAAGCCAAGAATGAAACAGTTTATTGGCTTAAAGTAATGAACTTACCCCTTTAACCCCTTTCAGATCTCCCTTCAGCAGACTGTCCAATGGGAAGGTAATGATGTTATTCATGTTCTGAAACTAGAGAGTAAAAGCACCGCATTAGACAAATCTCTTTCTTCCCAGCTGTGCAATTGTCTTTCTTAGAATGGCAATCAGAGATAAACACACAAAGCTGAGATGAAACAAAAAAGGTCTGATGCCGCGGGAGAAAAATTAGACGTTTTAAGTAGTATTCATGCAAACACGATGTTAGTGGAATTATTCATTAGCTTCGCAAAAACTAAGAGGAAAACTTCCCAAATCATAAATTACACAATGACTGATAATGTTCAGCTCAACTTATTTGAGGTAGCAGCACCAATAACTGCTAAAACACATTCATCATGAAAGTTGATCCACCCAGTAGATCAATGACTCAAGATCAGTTTTTGGGCCCAGAGGTCCAAGCACATTAACAGCAGGAAAGTAAGATATCTGAAACCCATTTGTTCTATATAAAATCACATAAATGCACAATAAATGTCCTCACCAGGTTCTTGAAGAGGGCCGTGAGCTCCTTGGTGAAGACGGAGAACTTCAGGAAGGCTGATCCCAAGTCAGGGTCATCTCGGTACACACAGTTCTCTCCAAACTTCTCCAGAGCTTGAGTATACTGCTCCTCGTTCTCCACGTGAGCTACAAACAGACAGAAAGCTGTAATCACAACTTAACTAAAAACCAATTGCACCTTAAAATGCTAATTTCATAAAATTAAATATGGCGACTATTTTATGTACTTCAATAATGAAAAAAAAAATTATGAAGTTCTATACAGTCACATAAGCCTAACATTCTTCACAGCTGCAGTATCGTGTTTGTCTCACCAACTTATTGTCCTTTCCTACTGTTGGTTTCTTTCCTCCTGATTGTGTTGTCATGTATTCCAGCATTATCAGTTACAGTCAACCTAATCACATCGACTTCATACAACCACGGGCACACAAAATAGCCTATTTATTGTTTTAAGGAATCTTTTCCACACTCTGCTCATTGTTATTGTACGACAAGACAAAAATACCCTGATAGGGCCTGATGGAAACTTAAACAAATCCAAAAACCCAGAACTTCCTCCCAATTCCATCAAACTCCCAGGCGATGTCCTCTCCAGGGGCAAAGAGCGAAAGATGGAAAACAAGCAAGCGTGTAATTCACTCATGCAGTGATGTTGCAAACTCCCCCCAGTTTGTCTGCAGGGAAAATGTGTAATTTACAAGTACAGACATGTCATAAAGTGTCGGGATGCTAGTCAATGTGCAAGCCTGTTTATAATCAACACCTGGAGCTTTTCAAGCCTCACTTGTGGGTGACCTTCCTCCCACAACTAGTTAATGTTATCTAGCGCAATTTCTTCAAACAAAGACCGTCAGCAAGAATAGCCACACAGTATTATTATATAGTCGATGACCTTATGAATAATTTATAAGCTGATTTGATTCAGTGTAGCTTGTGAAAGTCTGCTTAAGAGCTTTCTCTTTAGGTGACCTATTGTATCTCGATAGGAAGGACACAATGGGACAGGAAGAGAGGCGGTGGTGCACTATCACACTAAAGCCAGTCCAGAACTGGGGCCATGTTGCGACAACACAAAAGGAAGACCTGGAGACGCACTCCAGCAGATTCGAGCGCTCATGTGCTTGAGTAGACTTGGAGCACTGCCCAGGTCACCACAACAGGCACGGTAATTAGATACAGGCTAATAAGGATAATGAATATCTGAAGGCCGTAAGCTGAGGAGATTCCATTCAAATGAAAGCATCCTTTCTTATACCTGACTGGGAAAGCAGGGATAGGGCGCTTGTTTTTGTTGCATGCCCTTTGCCTGTTCAGTTTGATGAATGGCTACACCTGCTTCAATAAATAAACACTTGATAATTACAAATGAGTGCACGAATGTGCAGTATATGCATCAGTTAAAATTGCTAACCCAAGCTCAAACTCAAGTAGTCCAGACTCCTATTAGTTTGATCTCAATAGCGTAGTAGGCAGGATTTGAACACTGAATCTAGTGAGTTCACTGTATACGGTACAAATAGTCAGATATATCTTCTAAGTGAACATCCTAAATGACATTGAAATTGATATGTTCAGCATCACCAAGCAAAGTCTTAAGCGTGAATTACACTTTAGGTAAGACACAAACGCTTAGCATATGTGGTGCACTTGGTAAGCTAACAAGGGGATACTCAAGCACAGATACTACACATAGCACTCAACACTGGGTTAAATAGTCAATTTGTAATTACTTGGAGTTATTTTAACAACATTTTGCCGTACTAAACAAAATACAAGTATATTTTTATACAATCACTTTTTTTTTTTTTTATACAGTCACAATGCATTCTGGGTTTGCATTATCCACAAATTATACTGATGTAATGCTGCTTTCGAAATGGGTGAAAAATAGTTGTCTTAAAATGCAGCGTAATGTTTGCAACAGCATTCATGTTGGAAATATACCTAGGTAGACAGCTCAATAGTGTGACACAAACTTAATGGGTTATTTTACTTTCCCTCAATGAGATTTCAAACAGCAAGTGTAAATTCTTGAACTTACAGCAAGTAACCCTCACTTACCAGAATAAAATCCAATGGATTACTGTAAAAGTGTAGACAGCTACTAGACAGCAACTACTTGGTAGTGTACTCAGTCACACCCCTTAGCAACAACAAATCATTTGTAAATGTAAGATATTAGATTCATCGTTTGAACAAGTTATGACAGGCTATGAGACCCTTATAACTTAAAACCTGAAACACACCTCTGTCTCTCTAGCCCTCCGTGACATTAGTCACACCCTCGGACGGCAGGAGGAAGGAGAGCAGTGGGAGAGTGTCTGATTATGAGCTGTGAAGACCTTTTCCTTCAAACCACCTGCTGCATCACAGTGACTCATCACATCTCAATATAGGCCTTTCCTGACTTCTTACACCCATTTTCCATTGATAATGTCAGTGCCATTGCATTCTGCCTATTTTTCACTGAAGACTGTTTTCTGGGCTAGGAAACGTTTATTTACAATTATCATATATTGACTGTTATGATTTTTTTTTACACAATTTTTTATTTATTTATTTGTTTTTTACATTTACTACTTCGGAATTCTAACATTTAATTTATTTAAACAACTAACATACAAAATCCATGGCAATGATTTTAATTGTATAATATTTTAAGTCAGAGTCATAAGCGAAATGTCTTTCAACCAGGGTTATTATCATTAACTAAAACTATTAAAAACATTTTTGTTAATTGAAATAAAGCAGAAATAAAATAAATGTTAAAACAAACTGAATGCTAAAACTTGTTTAAATAATAATAAAAAAAATAAAAAAAATGAAAATGAAGATATAAATAGCTAATTTAATGTTTTAATAAAAAAATTATAGTAATACATAAAAAATACTAAAATAGCACTACTTTCAACAGTTTTAATTCATTCTAATTTAACTACTAAATTAGAATTTTTTCTATTTTATTTAATTTTAGAACTTAAAGGGGTGGTTGATTGTAATTAAACTTTTTTAACATTAGTTAGTGTGTAATGTTGCTGTTTGAGCATAAACGATATCGGCAAAGTTACGGCACTGAAAGTTCAATGCAAATGGAGATGGTCTTTTAAAATTCTGGCAGTTTAGCCTACAAAAATGGCTCGTAGGGACTACAACGAGCTACTTCCCGGATTTGTTACGTCACAAACCCAGAAATTTACATAAACGCCACTCCCGGAAACATGCAACAAAGGGGGCGGGGCCATGTAGCACGGCTTTAGAGAAGAGGAAGAGTTGTAGCCATGCTGTTGAAACTGTGTTATTTTCATCCCGTTAACAGGTCTTCTGTGTTCAGCCTCCCTACGGACACTGTACTTCGTGAACAATGGTTACAATTTAATTTTAATTCTGTTCCTGACAAATTTAATCCTAATGTAGCTGTCTGTGCTGCACATTTTAAGGAAGACAGCTTCCAGAATCTACACGAGTTGAATGCCGGATTCACACAAAGGCTATTACTGAAACTGCTTGATCCTCTTCATTACTGCTGTCTGGGTCTGATTCTGGCTCAAATTGATACGGCAAAATTGACACCTTTATTTACATTCCACCGGAGCACATGCAACTACTGCCCGTAATGGTAATGGGCATGAAGTTTCCGGACAACGAATTTCCGGTTAAGTTTCCGGTTAACAAATCACAACACACTGGGCCAGCTAACCAATCTGAGCTCATTGCGTATTTTTGAAGGAGTGGTTTCATTGAAACCGGAAGTCAACCGGCCATTCAAATGACAATGGAGACAGCGGCTTACAATAAATGTAAAATGTTACACTGCACCCCATAAACACAATCAAGCCAAGAAAAAAAAAAGCAGTCAACCACCCCTTTAAATAGCAAACATATACAATTCATAGCAATCAGTTCACATATATAATATTTTAAGACAGATAAAAACGTGTGCCACCCATAAACTGAATGTCTCGAACATGCCATCCATAACCGTTGAATACCAAACTCCGCCTGAGCCTCAAGTCTCTTACAAAAAATGCATGTGAGGCTCCGAATTTTATAGCAGTGCTTGTGATCTCCACATGGTTTGACATTCACAGTAGGGCTCTTCACATGCAGGCTGGATTCCAGCTGATGCCGCCGCTAATGTTATGACAGTAAATCTCCAGGCCAGGCGGTGTGTGTACAGACTCAACACAGGCTGTGTTTGGCCTTCAAGTATGCAGTCTTGTTTTCTGCTGCAGTGGCCAACTGTGCATTTGGATCTGCTTATCGTTTTTAAAGCGACATATGAGCTCTGCACATTTTCTGCTCATCTGCAATGGCAAAAATCTGGCTCCTAGCTGTCTCTCCTCATGGTAACTCAACCCTAGCAGGCTTTCAGTGCTGTGGCCATCTGAATGACAGTCTGTTGGGGGAACAAAATTACTGTTTCATTGGCCTGTCTCACGGTCACCTTCAAAATCACTCACACAAAAATGCACCAGTTAGGGCAGTGACTTGAGTTTTAAGCCTTTGAAACTCACTATTACACACATATAGTATAAAATTGTCTTCCTTTTCATGAATGTTTTCTGGCTAGCTACTCGCTGAGCTTATTATGTGATGATTGTAAACTCAGGTGAGTCTGTAGTGGAGGAGGGGTTGGTCCATGCGAGTAATGCTGGAATCATTTAAACACCTGTGTACATTGCACCTGGCTTATAGGGTAAGAAAAATACCCCCTTATCTACTCCTGGAGTTTTATATAGAATACAGGCCAATACATTTTAAAGCTAAATAAATAGAATTAATACAATAATAAAGGTAGTTTCAATACTCATATTTGATTGGACACTCAAAGCCAATATTTTGTTCAAAAGCACTGGGACATTTTGACATCTCACTCAGCTTATCTGTGTTGGTGTGCTCTAGACAGACTGTCAGGTGATTTTTCAGGTTATATTTTTATGCTAGTAGGTGTGATAAGTAGACTATCTTTATGAATGAGTCATTTGAATCACTCAACTGATTCGTTCAAATACACCGATTCATTCTGGAATGAAAGTCACTCCAGCACTTCTCTACTATATGCTGTATATATTAGGCAAAAAACAATGTGAAACTAGCAGTATGTCCAAATTCATAGTATTCAT